GTCAGTCCACAATAACTCTTTGTCTGCAAAGCAAGAATTTGCAGAGAGACCAGAAACTTACTACTATTTCATTCAGGCTTTTTGGTTTCGGTGTTTTATATTGCAATAAAAAAGGGAAATATATTTACATTTACAGTAAGTGTTCTAATTTGTTTCAAGATACATTTAGGCTTTTGAATTCACATGCTCTAGATTTACAGCCAAAAACTAAGAAGTCTGCACACAGCTGTTGCCATACAAGCTGCAGAGCCGCCCACAGTTCTTGTCAAGCCTTCAATTAAAGGCAGAGCACCCTTCATTTTGCCTTGGGATGGTCAGCTGAGCACAGCATGTCAACACCAAACTTGGTGATGATTTATCAGACTGCCTCCTCGCAAAGCAGACTGCTTGGGGAAGTGGGGCTACAGAAAATGGGCTTTCAAGCCGCTTGGTAGGGCTTACAATAGCTAACATCCAGAGGGGAAGTGCAGAAAATAACGTTGCTTTACTTACCGCACTGCTGGGAGCTGCTTAGGTATGAAGAGTGAGAAAACGGTGTAACAGCTGGTATTCATGTAAGAGAGAGCATCCAGTGGGTTTTAATAGTTCTGCCAATTTCACTTTTCCCCTTTCATACCTATTGTTCTGGTTATTATTATACATCCCTTCCACATAAATACACCTACAAATAGCTAACCACCAAGCATCCGTCTTTATGGATCCTAACAAGAGGGAGAGGGGTCTCCTCTGCTCTTCCCTGTACACACCACGGGGCAGGCCAGATTTGACTTATAGGCTGAGCTTGTTTGATTAGGTAGATAGAAGACTGGAAAGCTACAATTAGCAGAAGGCTGGAAAGCAAAAATGAAATTGCAGTTCCAGAATGCGAGCAGCTTTGAGAAGCTTCAATTGCCAGGGTGTGTTTAGACCAGCAAAAAAAGTGGACTCTGAGCAGCAGAAAACCAGCACTCAGGGGGACATGCTCTTCTTCTAGGAGCAGAGACACCGTCGTTTTCAACACAGCAGATGCTTCTGAATTCCCCACACTGTAGGCTGCCCTCTGTACCCTCGCGGATTACCAGCCAGGCAACACTCGTTCTGTCACAACCACCAGATAAAAATCTAGATTTCAGCATTCACAGTTCTCAGATTCTCTAAGAGCCCTCTTGTCCTTTAGACATCAAGAGGCATTTAGGGCTCAAAGGCCTTGAATATGCATTGCTTTGTCTTGCTGTGCCAAGGATTCCTTAGTGAATGAAGAAAAGACATGTACTCCCTCCCTCTCGGCTGCTGAAGCATGCCGCTCTGTCTGTGGATCACAAAGGGGTGGCCGAGACTAGAGCGCAGTGAAAACAACTGAAAGGAAACTTTTTAGTACAAACTGAGTTTGTGTTCTTTCAGAGCTCTCCTTTTAGGAAAGCTACCGTTCCTAAATTTGTTTAATGAGATCTGTGTGTCATCATAAATTGATATAGCAATTATCTGAGATTAATCCTGTTCACATTGGGAAGCTGTGTGAGCTTTTTGATCTGAAGAGCTGTCTAAAAATGTGTTTATTCATGTCTAATGCATTTGACAAGTGCTACAGTTCAGGAGGAAAGAATAATGAGACTGTATGAAAGACTTAAATTTTTTTCTACCTTCAATTTTACAGGGAGTGAGTTAGTTTGAAACATTTAATGGAGAGGTTAAATCTCCCAAATCTGTAGGCTGGAACAAGCCCACATAGTCCTGGCCGTCATTGTAACCAGCAACAGGGTCGAGAGCATATGAAAGCTGAAGTAAAATTCAGACTGGACTGATTCGAGAAGTGAGCTTAAGGGAAGGGGGAAGTAAAAGAAGATTTGCATCCACATAGCGCTGTGCGGTTTAAAACAGACAGTATCTAATTAATAATCAAGGCGCACACCCTTGCATCTTTACAAGAGGTCAGTGCTTTGAAAGTTGCTCCTCCAACAGCAGCTCCCGGTATGTTCCTGTGCAACTCCAACAAACAACTTGGTTTCTGGTTTGTCTGAGCACGGACTAACACCTCTACCAGCTCTGTTTAGCTAATACCTGCATTAGGTTTCAAGTATGGAAAATCTGGCAGTGCTACCCAATTGACAAGAACTCCAGTGCATACTTACAACGAAGAAAACATGTCCAAGTTATGTGCTCTCATTTCTGTAGGTTACAGTATGTGTCACAAGTGCTCTGACAGGTTTTTTCATCATCCCAGTATTACTCAGAAGATGCGAAAAGAACATATGTAGTGCAGCACCATTAAGGTGCAGGGAAAAGGGCCTGTAATTTTAGAAATGGTTCTGTGATGTAAAGAATACAGCACAGCATTTTTATCTCTGGTAAAAAACACAGCTCTGGGTTTTGGGACTTCAGTGCATTGTCATCATTGGAAGATTACGTTACAGAGATCTCACAGAAGAAAAAAATCACACAGGCATTATCATTATGCAGGGGCGAGGCAGGAGAGTCACTGAGCAGCATCACCGTGGCATTTACTCTGTGCTAGTAGGACACTAAAAATATTGCCTCTGTAAAAGGGGACAGAACGTCCTTTAAGTGAGTGTGCTCGTGGGCGATTTGATGTAGCTTCCCTGACAAGTGAAATTAGAGGATTCGGCTGTTGGAAGAAATTAAAGGATGTTTCTTGATTCAGAAAAGAAAATTTTCTCCAAATCACTTGCCAGCTCATTAATAGGAGCTTCATGTGATTTTCTGCAAATGTGATCTTAACCTCTACATTTGTAGGTGCATTCTTCAAAAGGAATTTATTCCTGCTCACTGTTGTGGGCTGGCAAAAGCATGCAACTAGAAAATTTCAAAAAATCAGTTGGCTCCAAACTGGGGAAGAAAAACCTAACAACTTCCCTTAAGAATCTTTTCATCTCAGACTACTTCCTACGAACTGTGTAAAGGCCAACAGCTTTGGCCATCATTCCACAGCATGGATTACGATGCAGGAACCCTTCTGCTTGACTCTTGACGTTTGAGAGAATAACTTCTACTTCAGGCCAGGCCCATTTTGTACACCTGACCTACCAATCACTGCCAGACCAGAGCTAGATTAGTGCCCTCCAATGAAATACAACTACTGGGGCTGGCTCAGCAAACAGCCATTGCCTGGGAACCAGATGAAACTTCTTTGTGGGTTAGCACTGGTCCTAGATCCTAGATGTAACTTTGCATTAGACCAGATGGCCCCTCGTGGTGAGAAGATATGCTTCAATTTCATGTTAGTTTGTGGCTCTTTAACCTCGAGTTAATTCTCCTTCAAATCAAAGCAGGCACTAACAAAGGCCGGTGCCGACATTTCAGCAAGCACTTATTGCTTCATCCATTTACTCCAAAACAATCTCCTGGGGATATAAGAAGCATCGATACTGACCTGAGTGCCACCTGCATGGGTGGAGGACAACTGTCTAGACAGAATGCTAGACTATCGGGCTCCACTTCCTGCCCTAACACATTCCCTGTATGTTCCTGAGGTATCCCGAGCCCAAACAACATCAGTCTTGATGTCACTGCCCTCTTCTCAGTAGGATTCAGCCCAGGCTACTCCCCTCCCAGATACCACAGGTGTGAGACTTGTGGCCAGAGATTTCAGCTGCTCCTCAAAGCCACACCTGTTTGGTTTAAAAACCAGGATCATGACTAGCCTCTGGGGTTCAAAAAAAATAGCCAGTGAGACTTTCTACATGGACATGGCATTCCCTGAAAGCTGAGAGGAGGAGGGAGACAAGCCCAAACGCAAACTGAAGCTAGCAAAACCAGGCAATGCCTTACCTGCACCGCAGGCTAATGGGAGGATGAGATACTTTCCCACTACAAGAAAGGCATTGAGGTGCTGGAGTGTGCCCAAAGAAGGGCCACGAAGTTGGTGAAGGGTCTAGAGCACAAGTATTACGAGTAGCGGCTGAGAGAACTGGGGTGGTTTAGCCTGGACAAAAGGAGGCTGAGGGGAGACCTTACCACTCTGCAGCTACCTGAAAGGAGGCTGTAGCGAGGTGCATGTCAGTCTCTTTTTCCAGGTAACAAGTGATAGGACAAGAGGAAATGGCCTCAAGTTGCACCAGGGGAAGTTTAGATTGGATATTAGGAAAAATTTCTTCATGGAAAAGGACTGTCAAGCATTGAAACAGGCTGCCCAGGGAAGTGGTTGAGTCACCAACCCTGGAGATATTTAAAAGATGGGTAGATGTGGTGCTTAGGGACATGGTTTAGTGGTGGACTTGGCAGTGCTAGGTTAATGGTTAGACTGATGATCTTAAAGGTCTTTTCCGACTTAAATGATGTTATATTATTCTCTTAGACGGTATCTGTAATAACCAAACCTGGCAGGTTAGGACAATAATCAATGGCTACGCTAAGGGGAAAAAAATGCAAACAAGACCTGTTTTAAGGCCGTTGTGAAAAAATGAAGCGACCAAAATAGTTTGAAAGTGAAAACCAACTACTACTACAAAGAGCAGAGTAGTGCTGAAGGGCTTCTGTGATGGCAAGAAATGCAGAGGTCCAAACAGGGAAATGTTCAGAGGAAGCTTTCCCTGCAGAGTTTTGGGGGGAGACCTGACAGCACTATGTTACCTGATTCATGTAATATCTCAAGGATCCTAATTTTTAAAAACTCACAATTTAGAGGCTTTATGATGCTCAAGAGGGAGTGGCAAGTCTGGATTTAAGAGTAAAATCTTTAAGAGAAAGAAAGGAAATAAGGGGTGGGTTTAATAATTTTGTGACTCAGACTGTTAATTTAAACAGTACGAAGGACTGATTTATAATGCAAGAGGCCAATCCAACCCAATTGTCTGTATTTTTCCATCTCCATACTTGAAAATTTAAAACCTGTACGAAAATTATTGTACAAATGGGTTTCTGCCTCATATTCCATAGCCTTGGAAGGAATAGACAATATTTATGAGAGTAGAGCAGGTAGGTGCAGGATTATATTCAAAGTACTACAGTAATCAGCTGTGAGATGACTGTGAGTCAAGAGTTTCAGAGCATTTAAGAACTGTAAAATATTGCGAATATTTCTGTTACCTCAAAATTTTTTCATTTTTTAAAATTTAGCCTGAAGGGATTAACAGCAACTTTGCAAAAACCACCAAGGTCAGGTATGGGGAACAGCAGTTATGACTGTAGAAAAGCATTAATCAGCAGATGCTGAAAAACAGTGCAGGCCTGGAAATGAAAGCAAGTTCTGCAGTGCAGCAATGCCCAAGAGATATAACAAGCAGCATTTCTGCTGAAAGTGCGACTGATGAAATCAGCACAGAAGGATGCAGCTGAGATACAAGCCTGAACATCGGCAGAGCACATCATCAGAGAACAAGAACCTTCTAGTCACAAAATTACTGTGCCATTTTATTCTTTTAGCTCTTCAGAGGTTGGCAGTGCTTTAAATGGGAGGCCAACCTACTGTAAGTAGTGAATTTACAGCATACTGCAAGGCATAACATGAGTGGTAAACGCACTCCGTAAAGAGTAACTCTCAGCCTACTAGGAGCTGCAACTATTCAGGATCTTGAGCTTAAGTAGGAGAGAAAACACTGAATTGATAAGGTCTTGTTAAGGCTAAGAACTCTCTCTTACATTCTGTCTCAGCTGAACACTCTGTAATGAATACTGTGGTTTTAAAGAGGAGGCTCGCTGATGCTATATATTGAATTTGCTTAGCTCTGATTTCATCCAAAGTACCTTAAGACTTTAGGGAATAAATTACCACTATCTGGCAGCATAGCTGCGATATTTGCAGGGCACATCACAATAAAATTCACAGTGTGAATGGTTCAAATGTGACTCTGTCCAGATGTGAGAGGGAGGGCGGGCAGGGAAAAACTGGAACAACTCATTTTCTCCAGTGATGCTTTATCACTATCCTAACCCTTGGATCGGTGGCGAATGACAGCAGTATGTGCACAGACTGTTCTTACTGCAGAAGAGCTTTAACTATTTGAAAACAAAACAAAGAAGCACTATAAAATTATCTGCCTGTGGTAGGGAAAGGGAAGCAGTTGCAGATACCCTTCAATCACATTTTAGATTTTGCAGCAGTAAAAAAAAAAAAACCCACAACAAAACTACCCACACAATTTGGAATAAAAGAAACGTGTGTAGGTTTGTACCTATTACTGCTGCAATCAACTATATTTTATACAAAAAAGAAAACTAGCTTTTGTTTATATGCAAAATAGCAAAATAAAAAAAATGCCCCCGGCTCAGTCAGGTACTGCAAAACTCACAAGATGAGTCTTAGACCAATACCAGATCTCAGACACTGGTGGCTGTTTGCAGCGATAACTGCAGCAAGGATCAGCAACTTCATCTTTTGACTGGTACATAAAGTGCATGACGCTACTTCACAAACACAAAAATGTGGGATTTGAAAGCATTATTTATATCGCCTAAGCAGATGGAACCTTGTGGAATAGCACAGTGAAGCACAGCTGGATGGTATGGCCGGTTTGGGACTATAATACCTTTTCTAGGATTTCAAATGCTGGAGCAAGACAAGGATTCAAAACTTGGGAACTGTTCAGGCAGCTCTGCTTAGTATTCTAAACATGCACCACTTAAATAATTCAAATTGGACTGCGCAATGCAGCGCCTCTAAGCTGGGAAGTCAGCTGAGTGTTGTGCTCACTAGATTAGATAATTCGAGCATGGGAAGGGCATCGTACAGTGCAGCGAAATTTTTTTTTTTCCCAGGAAACACTGGAAAGCAGCTACGAATTGAGCTGTAACTCTTGCAGGTACAGAGTGGTAACAAGTCTCTCTTTATTTACTCACTTTTTAAAGAAAGTATGTGTTACATTGGTATCGGAAAGCCTTCTAGAACATTTTCAGTAGTAGCTGAGGCGGCCTAACAGCTGGGTTGATCCTGACTCAGCAAGGTGATGCATGTTCAGTGACTTTTAAGAGCGAGCTGAAATCCTGTGATTTCAAGAAGACCTCGAGAGTCAGGCCTGTGATTACGTATTTTAACAAAGAACTGGGCCTTGGCACATGACCACGTTTTACTAAACCCGTGTGCCAGCACGGGCACTGTTCAGCACTCCATGCTCTCTTGATTAGAAAAATCGCTTTTGTAGATGGAAGTGATCTGGCACAACCTAGTTCAGATCCACGCTAGTGTAGTTACACTAGTACAACACTAATTAGGGAAAAACTTATTCCAGGATAAAAGAATGATTTATTCACTGAAACTTATCTTTCAATAGGGAAAAGATTTACAATAAACTGATGAAATCCATCCAATACCTCAACAGCAATTCTCACTTGCTGTCACCATCCTGGAATAACTGGCATATGACAGAACAGCCTTTTTGTTCCATTCCCACTGTAACCAATGGCAAACTTCTCATTAGCTCCAACAGCAGAGATTTAAGGCAGAAATCGACAAGCGTAATTAAGTATAACCACGCTTTCTTTAACATTACTGATGGGGTGCTCTGTTAAATAGGTTCGAATCTGCAATGATTGATGTGAAGTGCATCTGAACACCTTTTATACAAACACCTTTCCACTGCATTGCCAAAGAAATTTGCTTTCAGCATTTATTGTTACTGCTGCTTCCCACACACTCTCAGATCTAGCAATATGCACTTGACAAAGTTTCAAAGGGTTTTTTATAAACTGCCCGTGCTAATTGTAGCAGCTAGCACAGGCCTGTAGAAAAACGTTCTCCTTTCAAATCTTCCACTGTAAACTGAAGATGTCTTTTGAAGATTTTTCAGCCTTAGAAACGCCTAGAGACTTTGACATTTGAGAACAATGATCACACAACGGAAGGGAGCAGATCTAGTGCTTGGCTCAGAGGCAGAGATGTGTGCATGCACAGTACTTCTAGAACACAAGGAGATTAAGTGCAGTTACCTTCAGCTTTTAACGCTGACTTTGCATGTCCTATGGCTTCCCACGGAGATGGAATATCTAGGAACACGGCATCGGCAATGTTTGAAACACCAAACCCATTTTTGCAGACATCCTGGTTGGTCACGGTGACCAGATGCTCCACTCCATGCTCCCGAAACTCCTCCCTTGCTTTCTCAGCCCTCTGTTGGTGGAACTCCACTGTGTACAGGTGCCCTGTGGGAGCCACTGTCCTGATGAGCGCATGGGAGAGAGATCCGCTGCCTGTACCTAGAAAAGAAAAACAGCTCATGAAAGGCCTTTTGGCAACGTTAGAACCACGGTCTTCTCCATTAGTCCTCCTGCTTGGAACACTCACTCAAAACTCAAATGAAGAGAAGCCATTGATTACACTACTGAAAGAGAACAGTCCTTCCTCCACAGAGGAACTAAATGACCTAGGAAACCGTCTTCAGGGTCCTCAAAGCATCAATTAAAATTCTGCCAAGCTCAGGACCTGTCCTACCTCCCGGAGCAGAAAAACAACACTAAGGCTCAGCTATAGCTCTAACAAGTGCCACAAGAGAACATGAGGAATTCAACACAATAGGAAAAATTCAGGGAAATTAATCAGAGAGTTTTTTCTGAAAGTGCCAGACTTCTAGAGTGAAAAGAGATGAAGATAAATTTAAAACTTCTTTTCAAAAACTTCACTAAAACAAAGAAGAGATGTTGGCAAGGGGCCATGCTTGAAAACCCTACTGGCATCCATGCAAACAAATGGCCTTCGGGATATGGAGTCTGTTTTGCCCAAGCCACTTAAGAGACACTGGCTGTCCTCAGCTCCCACTGGCATTATCCAAGACTAAGGCCTCTCGGCTCCTTGCAGTCACACGGACCAAAAGACCTGATTTCACAAGTGATTTACATACATATACGCCTACACAATCTTAACGAAGTCTAATGAGATCCATCACATATCTGAAATTGTACGTAAGTAGAATTACCGTGTACAACCAAGGAATAACTATTAAGACAGATTTTTGTCATTGTTTTATTTTGATAATTTAGGAAACTTATCTTAAATCGACCATTGGCGTATTAAGTAGGTGAATGACTAAACCAACATTTTCACTGAAGAAAACACCCATATACCAATTCACATTGCAAATTACTCACTCAAGTGGCATTTAACAGAATAACCCCCCAAACTCAAAATCCCACAGCACTCCCAAATTATCTGTGTTTATTGATTTATAATTCTGTACTTGGAACATATTTCTCCTGTAAAAAGAAAATCTATTTCTAGCTATCTTCAATGACTGTTCAGGCCAAATTTCAGCCTGAAGCAAGCTCTTCTAACTAAGAAAAATCTTAAAATAAAGCTTATAAAGGACAGAACCTGAAGTACAGCAGTGGTGAAGAAAGCTCAGAAACTAGTAGAAAGGAAATTAATTAGGGGACACAGGGCTGGTACAGCTGCTTAATTGGAGCAATACTTTCCATAACTGTACAGGAAGTCAGAGTTTATTAATGGATCCAAGGTTCTGCCCTTTAGCCACACAAGGGGAGAAACACTGTCATGGCACTGTATTTAATCCGACAGCTCTGAAAGGGGAGCCATTCAGACTGTAAGCAGAGCTCAGGGCCCATGTTTGCCACCACATCAACCAACTGCACTATGGAATCAGCACCGGTCCTCTGCTTCCCTCTGAGAGGGCTCTGACCCCAACCGGCAGACCAGCACCCTCCCCCCAGCTTTAATGGGGCCGATTAGACTGGAGATTTTAGCACTGGCTCCAAAGAGATCCAAGGGAAGAGAGAAACTGTGACGCACACATTTATTTCAAGTGAAAAGCCATGCAGTCATGCCAGTATTAAAATAAAGCAAACAAAAGTCAAAAGACACATACACGTGCACACATGAAAAACTATCTGCTCATGAGACCTGCAGGCTCTAAATATCAACATAAACTTTTCCCTGATCAAAAGGAGTGATGGTAGCACAGTAGTCACATGGTTGTAAAAACTCAATTACATATGCGCACAGCAAAGAAAGAGCATTTCATGGATTTATTTTTTTTTAATGACAAGAGCAGGGAACTATTCACAGGATGCTAAAATGACTGAAACTCTGCCTTTATATTTCATGCCAGAAGGCAGGATTGCACAACTGAGAACTTTCGCAACCCAATGGAATTTAATTATTTTACCTCTCAAATGGGCAATGCTGCACGCTTTCTGCATGTTTCTCTGCTAATCTAAAGGAGTGAACAGAAGGCCCGTCGGCACAGCTGGGCTGTAAGCAGAAGAGAGAGGCAGCTTGCGCGTATATCCAGTTTCCTTGTTCAGATTCTTTTACATTTTTAATCACTTTCCTTTTAAATCTGTTCTTAAAAACACCACAGAAGATACTGTTTGTCTCCTACCTAGTAAAACCCATTAGGATTTTTTGGCTTATTTTCTAGTACTCTTTTTTTTTATTCACAAATACTCCAAGCCAGACCCTGAACTAAAACCAGGATGTTGGAAGTCACCACTAACAGACTGAGCTTTTGTTCAACAAGGTTGCCAGGGATTATTTATTGTTGACTGTTTATTGTTTGGTTTACTGCAAACATGAAAATCATACCTATGTATCATGTTTTAGCACATCGAATTCTATTGCACTCACATCATTAATGAGTATTTCTAAAGATGCTGCCTGCCTTCTCTGTGACAACACTCTCAAAATGGCAGGAAACAAAGAACAAGACGGTTATGAATGACCCACCATTGCAAAGTCTCTCCTTGAAGAGATGACAGATTCTGAACCCAGTCCTGTGAAATGATGAAGACCCTCAACTCTCATGTGCCTGATAGTTCAGCAGGCTTGATGTGATCCATTAAGAAGATAAAGGTCTTGCAGTTCAGCATGAGTCCATACTCAACACAATCCCTAAAGCCCAATCAGCACTGTCTACAGAAGACGGGTTCAACCCTGTGACAGGCTGAGAGAGTCGGGGCTGTTCAGCCTGGAGAAGAGAAGGCTCCAGGGTGATCTTATAGCAGCTTTCCAGTACCTAAAGGGGGCCTACAGGAAAGCTGGAGAGGGACTTTTTACAAGGGTGTGTAGTGATAGGACAAGGGGCAATGGATTCAAACCGAAAGAGGGCAGATTTAGATTAGATATAAGGAAGTGGGACAGGTTGCCCAGAGAAGTTGTAGATGCCTCATCCCTGGAAGTGTTCAAGGCCAGGTTGGATGAGGCTTTGGGCAACCTGGTGTAGTGGAGGGTTTCCCTGCCCATGGCAGGGGGGTTGGAACTAGATGATCTTTGAGGTCCCTTCCAACTCTAACCATTCTATGATTCTATGATTCTCTGACGTTGTAGAAGGGGAAATGAATGTTTATATGCACCTTCTCCCCTGCAAATCTGCAACATTCAACATTTGAGTCCTCCTGTCACCTTCCCTATTCCTTTTCAATTTCTCTTTGTCCTTATTTAAACATCACTACTGAAAAAAAAAAAAAACCAGTATTCAGCAAAATATGACTCAAAGAGTCTTAGGCACTAGTTTGGAATAAGTTCTACTCGAGTTTGGGTTTCCTTGGGAAATTGAAGGTATCCTTAGCATGATACAGAATCAGTCAGCAAAGCGGCAAAACGCAAGGTGTACTAATGAAGACATGAACTAGAATGCTACCAAACCTGAAATATCAAAGCTGAATTACCTGTATACAAATGAACCAAAAACCTGAACGCTTGAAAATGAATATTTTATAACAGAAGAGGCAAGCTAAGAACAGGATGGACTTCAATAGATTTTCATTCTCATACGGGCGCAGCAAAATGCCTATGTTCCTGATTTGACCTAGAAAGCAGAAGGTGAGACGACTGTAGAACAAACACAGTTTGTAATTTTTACACCAGGATGCTTGCCCTTCTACCAGCTTGCACTATAAATAGCCTTAGAAACTGACTGCTCTCTGCCACAGGACAATGCCCATTTAACTCCAGCGTATTAATCATGAATGGACTCTTCAGAAGAGAGGTAAACTGATGATAATTTAAACTGTACTGAAGACATTCTTAACACAATAGCTGCTGGTTTAGAGCTCACTTAGGTCATTGCCACTGCCTTTGGAAAATATGATGCTCTTTTGCATTGACTCTTCTGTTATCTTAAACATAGTCAAAAAGCAGACATCGG